GTGTCCTGAGAACATCAAGTTTGCAGCTATTTCTACTATTTCAATTCAGTGTGACTTACATTCTTTATTGGTATCATCTCTATAAATTCCAAATTAGTTACTCAAGCACTCTAAGTAGCTAAGTAGCTTCTATTGGGTTTTCCTCTAAATATTACATGTTGTGTACTTTTGTGACACCTTAGTTTCTTAATGTGTACAAAATGCCATCTATTAACAGAAAGCATAGTAAAATATATCCATAGTAGAACTAAAACCGCTGTCCATCATCTTGGACAGTAATAATTTTCCTGAAGAAGAAGTGGACGAATAATGTTAGAACATTGATTCTAATGCTGCACTTCACTGAAAATCTATTTGAAATCTGTAGTTGAAAAATATAGGCAGTTAAGAGTCAAAACAAACTGAATTGGGTATATACATATTAGTGTTTTCAGCTTTTCTTTTCCTTTTTCGGCTTTTTTAAAAATAACTTTCCACTGAAACAATGTATTCCATAAAATGAACCAAGATATGAAAATCCAAAAATGAAGATCTCTTTCTAATTTGCAGAGAAAAAATATATTTAATGTATAGGTTTTGGGGTTTTTTTACAGTTTTAAGGTTTTATAATAAATTGTTCTTAAGTCTGGCACCTTTTATCATTCACAAACACTATAATAATAGTATAATATGTGAGTGAGTAAAAATAGTTATTTGTATCATATCAGTATTTTGTGGTCTTACACAGTAGGTACTCTGACCCACAAGGTTGCCTGGCTCCCTGATCTTATTTGAGAAATTAGCCATCAGTGGAATTACTTTAAAACTATTCATTAAATGCACCACTCTTGACAAGTCAGCCTTATTACTGTAAAACATGAAATGACTCCACTGAGTAATTATTCAAATATTTATGTGTGAAGTTTCCCTCTTTGCATTTAGCAAGTATAATAAAATGCTTATGAAAAATCAGTGTCTTTGCTACAGTATAATGGAGAGTCTCTTTTAGCTTGTTTATACATAAAAAGCCAAAGTAAACATCAGAACATTTACAAAGTACATTTAGTATTCCCTTCTGTCCCCCCTAAAAAGAAAACACCAGTATGAAATAGTTCTGTGATTCTGTGCACTTCATCTCCTCCTGCTGCCCAGTACGTAGCTCATCGATGGTGGAAGAATATGATCATTTAAATGCAACAAGAGCATCTTTGTAGTGGGCCTGCCCTCTTTCAGCAGCAGCACAGAGCTAGAATTCATCCCTCCATTGGCTCTATTTCTCGTAAATGAAGGAGTTGAGTAACCAAGAAGCCGGCTAGACCTTCCTCCCTTCCTGAGCTTTGAGGGCCAGGTCTTTGCAGATTCCACCCTTCCTTCCTGAAAGCCTGGCCTCCAAAGGGCAGTAACAGAGAGATGGAAAAAACACACACATCCACCCAGCACTGACCTTTCATCTCTCCTGAGATGTCTCAGTGTGTTTGCCTTGGAAAGTATGCCCTGCAGATCTACTACCAAGACGATCTTTATGGCGACTTTTTAATGGATTGAAAAAAGTTCTGTTTTAAATTGTTAGAACTGAACCTTGAAGAATGCTTTGGACATTCTGCACAGAGAGTGAGGGTAACACCTAAGTCAAGTAGTTGAATCCACCCACAGATATTTAGGAATCAGAAGTTTTTGTCTCCTTTCTAGGTCTGTAGCAAAAAAATGGGACAAAAAATTTAAAAGTAGTGTTCACTTTTAAATTTTTATTTTAGAATGAATAGGTTGCCATTTACAGAAAAGTTGCAAAGATAATATAGACAGTGGCCAGCTTCCCCTATTGTTAACATCTTATATTACTATGGTACATGTGTCACAATAAGAAACTAGTGTCAATTCATTATTGTTACCTAAGTTCTATACTTTGTAATTAATTTGTTTTTTTCCCTGATGTCTTTTTTTCTGTTCCAGGATGCCATCCAAAATAGTATGTTACATGTAGTCATCATGTCTCCATAGCCTTCCACTTAGAATCCATTTTCCCTTACAATGGATTTTACTGGGATTTTATTACATATGGAGTAAATAAGACTTTTCTGAAGGGGTGATACTGGGATACTATATCACAAAGCCACATCCCAACCCTTTTTATATTTTGAGACAGGGTCTTGCTAAGTTACCTAGGGCCTTGCTAAATTACTAAAGCTGGCCTCAAACTTGCAATCCTCCTGCCTCAACCCAAATTGCTGGGATTACAGGCATGTACCACCACACCTGGATGAAATTATTAAACCATAGCTAGGGACTGTGAATTCTGATTCCTTTTACATCTGTGGAAGAAACTTCCTTTATCTCTCAGTTCAAAACATTTTATTTATTTGTGGTGGTGGAAGTCAAACCCAGGGCCTCATGCATGCTAGACAGGCACTCTACCACTGAGCTACAGCCCCCAATCTCAATTGAAAACATTTAGAGGATGATGACTTGCGGGGGGAAAAGCCCAGGAAAGTGCTGGAGTATCATTAGGACTAATGAACTACTCCTTTGACACATCGTGATACGCTTTCTTCCAAATAATTACTGCTATTTTATCTATGACAGAAAAAGATTTTGTGGCTGTGGATATAATAGCCTCAGGATGAGGGAAAAGGGGGCTTTTTTTGATGATTAGATCATTTTCAATTTCAAAAAAAAAAACTAATGGTGATTTGGTTCATAGTGCAGGCTGAATGCAGTTGCCTGTTTCTAACCTCTACTAACCCATAAGAAAAGATCAGGTACAATTCTCTACATGTATCCACAACCGTTGTTATAACAGAAAACACACAATAGGCTCTCAAGAAATAGAATCTGAGGAAGAAGGCCGTAAGTATTTTGTTCAGTCTTCAGGGCTTCTTTGAAAGGTGGCAGTGGAAAATCCTCTTGACACGAAGCACTCTGGTCCCTTCCCTGGTTTCCTGCTTTATAGAAGGAAGTAAGCCCAGCCCGGTTAGCTTCTCTGTGCCTTAAAACTCAGGCAGAGATCCCCACATGCCTGGAGAATTCTAGCACGTGTGTTTGTTCTCCCACACATCACTGCTAGATAAAACCTCCCTGTCCCTTTTTTATGGGTTAATTTCCCCATTCAAAAATCTATAGGGACTTCCTGTTTTCTAGAGAGAAAAACTTTTCAACATTGCATCTCTCCACCCTAACCCAGGTTCTCCACAACTTTACTACATTCATCATTATAATCATCAACAAATAATTATTTCATACCTTCATTTCCATAGGCTTTCCTGCCTTGGGTCTCTGCATATTTTCTTTCTTGACTCTCATCTGAAATTTCTGCCCTCTCTTTAACGAGGCACAGGGAAACTCCTACCTTCTTAAGCTGTCACCTCTTCCCTGCCTCTGGTGGTCTCTCTCCTGAGACCTCGGGTTTCAACGTGCACTCCCAGAGTTGGTGAATTTCCTCCTGGTCTGACATTTTATGTGCACATATTTATTTATATTCCACTTAGGGATCATACATTGATCGTAGGTGATTTTTTTCTTTTCTTTTTTTTTTACTTAATGAACATTTACATCATTATATATTTTTTTGAAATGTGATTTTTAAAAATGGTTTCATAACAAATTCCACATTGTATTAAGGCATTTATATCTAGCTAAGACATTTAGTTTTTTGTTTGTTTGCTAGAAGCATTGGTGCCCTGATCATTCTTGCTCATATTTATTTATATGCTGAATGTAAATTCTAAGAGTGGGCTTCTTGAGATTGATTTTTATTGAGTTCTTGATGTATATTTTCAATTGACCTTCAAGATAAGTTAAGTCAAATCTTTTCCCCATGGGCGCTTTCATCTTTTTGCTGCTCATCAGCACTGAGGATTATAATTTGCTTATGTTGGTTATTAATTAAGGACTTACATGTCCTAGATATAAGGCCTTTATCAGATCGGCGTTTTATAAATATTTTCTGTCAGTCTGTAGCTTATCTTTTATCACTTTCTGGACATTATGTTCTAAAAGCAGAAGCTTTTCATTTTGACTTTCACAAAATCAAGTTTTGTCAGAGACTTTGCTTTTGGGAGTCACAAAGATGTTTTCCTATTTTCTTCAGAAGTTTTATACTTTTAGGTTTGATTCATTTTCAAATTAGTTTTTGCATATGAGATCTGGATTGAAGTTCTTTCTTATGTGTGGCAATTAGCAAAAGATCAGGAATCTTCCCAGATAAGGAAAATAGAATAGTTAAGTCTGTCGAAAGCACATTGTTTAAAGAAGTTTGCCTTTAAAATAATACAAGGTAAATTTTTCTAATATATTAGTACTTTCAGACTAATTTGTGACATAACTTGCATTAACAAATGAATGCTTATTGACAGAAAATAAGTATTATCACCACTTAGGTTATTTGTTTGGAAGGTAGATTTTCTTATTTCACTTAAACAATTAATATAATTGTATTAATATACTTATTTATGCAACTAGCTTTTGCGGGGTACTGGGGTTTGAACTCAGGGTCACTCAATCACTGAGCCTTATCACCAGCCCTATTTTTTGTGTTTTATTTAGAGATAGGGTCTCACCGAGTTGCTTAGCGCCTCGCCATTGCTGAGGCTGGCTTTGAACTCTGTGATCCTCCTGTCTCAGCCTCCCGAGCTGCTGGGATTACAGGCATGTGCCATTGTGCCCAGCTTACAACAAGAATTTTTGAAGAGCTAAGAAATATAATGTACTGTGGTGGATGATGTAGGAAAATAATTTCTTTGCAGCTCCCTAAATTACTTGGATTCAATTAACATCTGATTCCTAGAATGAAAGGGAGTCAAAGTAATTAACTTTTTGAACTGTAAAGTTATTATTATATGAGGAGCATCTGTCAGTGCTAAGGGACATGGCTCTTGGGAATGTACTAATAAAGATTATGAAGGAAAAATCTGTAAGTGAAACAAATTTTGTAGTGAATATTGCTTGAGGTTATTTGTGCAATGGAAAGTTTCCCAGTAATTGTCAGCACCACCAGACCTCTCAATCGCCTCCATCTTTTCTTGTAGGTCATCAGCTCCATGAGCTCCCTCTCTGAGTACTGCCTTCCCTCCATTCTACGAACACTGTTTGACTGGTACAAAAGACAAAATGGCATTGAGGATGAATCCCACGAATACAGGCCAAGAACAAGCAATAAATCTAAAAGGTATGTTGCTTTCCAGTAAGGATAATGGCTTCTCTTTGTAAGAAACGCAAAGTAAGTTAGATGGCATCTGGACCTTCCTGACTCTCCACAAGGACACCTGGGAGGAGCTGCAGGGTCCACCTGATCTGTAGCAGGTATCGCATTTGGAGCACTTGCCATTTCCAGCTGTTAAATATTGGAAATTCACATGGCCTTATTTCAACCTTTGTGGGGACAGAGTACAAAGGGCCTTCTGTCACCCTCTTGCCTGCTTCTGTTCTTTGCCTCCTCCTCTCCAATCCACACCCAAATGAAAGTGGTGGACCCTGAGATATTCTAGTCCTGGCCTAGTAACCTTGGGCGCTTAGTGAGCTGCAGTGGGAAGCACTGGATGCCCTGGGTCGGGAGTCCCATCTTTCCCGAGGGCTGGTGAACAGAGTGGGAAGTGCAGCAGTTCTAGGGAGTGGGACTGAGTTTAGTCCTGCTGCTGACTAGCCACATGCCTTTGGGTAGCTCGCGTCTCCCAGGCCCAGGAAGTTAGGTTCATGGTTTCTATGTGACTTCTTCCCACTGAGAATTTGATTGGTCTATTCTGTGTTCCCTTTTCCCTTGTGGGTTTGAAAAGTGGAAGCTGCTGCCACATAAGCCCTTCTACCTTAAAATTTAAGGTTCCTATATGAGCAAATCAATGTGTATTATCCCCTCTGAAAAATATAAGTAAATACATTTATGATTTCATGTTTGAAGTAAACCATTGCAGCAAGGCAGTGAGGATACGAACCTTACTTTTTTTTTTTTAAGGTTATTTATTTATTATTTTTTTTAAAAAGAGAGAGAGAATTTCAATATTTATTTTTTAGTTATAAGCAGACCCAACATCTTTGTTGGTATGTGGTGCTGAGGATCAAATCCAGGCTGCACGCATGCCTGACGAGCACGCTACCGCTTGAGCCACATCCCCAGCCCTTAAGGTTATTTTATAAGCAGATTTCTTTGCATAAATTGATACATTTTAAAAATTCTTTTAAAATGACAGTAAACTGAAATTAATTAATCAAAATTAGATATTAACTGCTTTCTTGAAGTGGTTTATCCTTCATTTTTCTTGACAGTACTAGTACTTTTGTTTAAAAAAAAAAAATTAAACTTCTTCTGAAATTGAAGATCTGTAATTTTACCAAATTATATTTCATCTAAATTTGTAACATCATTTTATGATAGTCTCATTTATGCAAGATTCTGTTGTTTATCATTTTATTTGAAGGAGAGATTAATAACTTTTTCATAGTGGAGAAGGAAACTTTTAGTGAAATATAATTCACATACCATAACACTCAGTTTTAAAGTAATAATCCAGTATTTTCAGTATATTCCTGAGGTTATAAAATCATCAACACTATCTATGAACTTTTTTAAAATATTTTTTTAATTGTTGATGGACACAATACCTTTATTTAATTTATTTATTTATTTATTTTTATGTGGCACTGAGGATCAAACCCAGGGCCTCACACATACAAGACGAGTGTGCTACCGCTGAGCCACAAGCCCAGCTTTCTATACACATTTTTATCATGCCAAAAAGAAACTATTACCTATTATCTCTTCAGAAATTCTTTTTAAATTTATCTAATTTTAAAGGCAAAATTTATATTCTGTGTCTAGAAATGGTCATTCTGTATGACCATTAAATGCAGGGGATCATTTTATTATTTCCCATCTTACATGAGAACTGGTAACTCCGGGGGAGGGGGGGGTGCAGCAGTTCTAATGAGTTGAATTGAGTTTTAGTCTGCTCCACTATTTTGTCAGAATTTAGTTATCAAAACTAGATTTTTCATGAATTGATTCTTTTAGGGATTGAAAATAAGGTTTTTAATTGTGTTACTATTTGTTTTAAAATAAAAGACATACTTCTCTAGTAATGAATTCGACTTTATTACTATGAATGAATAGTAATAAATTCGACTTTATTATAGAGAGATAGGTGAAGTCCGATATGTACAGAATCAAGACAATAAAACTTGACTTGGGTTCACTTTAGTTACATTTGAGCATTTAAAATGAGAGAATGTGTGCTTGGGAAAAAGCTGGCAGAATGAGGGTCTCTAGAGCATCCTGCATCTGAGATGCAGCTAAATTAGGAACTGTAGGGAGGAGTCAGGCAACTGAAAATAGTCAAATCGGAGGGGCAGACGTTGGGTTATGATTTCTAAGATTAGTATAATATCAACATTTGCACTGCCAAATAAATTTGTCAAATGCCTCTGGCTCCCGGCAGTTAGACTTCAAACCAGCAATAAAGTCGAATTCATTACTAGAGAAGTATGTCTTTTATTTTAAAGCCCAATTTGGCTTATTAGATACAATCAAAGGTTTGTTAATTTTTTATGTTAAGAACAACTTCTTTTTCAGGGTTTTCTGACCATTTCTGTAGACCCCTGCCAACCATCTGACACAAACAGTGTTCTCTACTTCTGCTGGCCATATTTGAGAATTTGCCTTCCTCTTGATTTCAAACTTCCTGATTCCTTATTCTGTGATATAATGAATATAAGGCCTGACTACTGAATACCTTCCTTTTTCTACATGTTTCCTGGGCTAGCAGTAGCATTTTGTAGCCCTAGAGGATCTTAAAGGACTTCAGACAGATGGTTTTCTCCACTACTCTTCCTCTTGGCAAGATGGTCATGAATGTTCCTAAATGTTCCTGCCCTGTGAATACATTTCCACCTGCAGGGTAAAGCTGCAGGCTCCCTCGCTAATGTTCCCTTGTCCATCAGGCTTAAATTGACCTTGCTCAAGGTTACAAAGCACCTCTAGAATTTCTTGATTTACCTCTTAAAAACCACCCTGCTTTGTTCACATTCCCTCTTGACTGAAAATAGAAGCATTCCATTTTTAAGATAGGTCTTGATTTATTCTCAAAATACCTTCAAGTCCAAATCCTGTCATCCTTCATCAACAGGTATTGAGTATGTATGTGCTTAAGAGACTGTGCTAAACACTAAACAAGCTTTATCTTCTCAAACCTTTATTTAAGTA